AGGAGTGTGGATTCTGTTGGAATCTGGGATTTATGGCAGCTGCTGACCACTCCTCTGCCCAACTGCCATAAGTTACACTCCCATTCTGCTGCCTGCAATAAAAAAACAAAAAAAAACCCAAAAAACAAACAAACAAAACAAAACAAAACAAAACCAAAAACCTGATATTTATTGTCTGGATTTTTCTTCCCAAAAAGTCAGGAAATTCTCACAACCACTAAAGCACAGCTCCGTATTTCACTGGCACAGGAGGAGCTGAGCATCCCCTGGGGCTCTCCACTGGCCTCTCCCACACAAGATCCAACGTTCCCCAGTGGAAAAAAAAGGTCCCAAAACTCAGCTTCCCCCAGGAAAATCTTCATGGCCTCTCCAGATGCCAGCAGGACCCTCACCACTGCAGTGGCCAGTGCCCAGAGGAGGGGGCAGCCACACTGGGGTGGAGAGAGAACCATTTATTTCAGGCTGAGGACTGATGAGATGAAAGCCATTAATCCCAGCTCATAATTACATTGTTATCTCTGCCCCCGGAGATAAAGAGATTTCTCCCTGCTGGCTTTTGGAAAAGCTGGGCTCCAAAGCGGATAGAGGAGGGATTTATTTATTTGAGCTCCTCTGTTTTTAAAGTGAAATGTTAAAGAGGAAAAGCTTGGTTTATTTATTTTATTTTATTTTTTTTCCTCCAGGAGATGGGAAGCCGGGAAAGGTTTCCCTCCTGCTCTTGATGTCCAGGATCAGGCAGGAGATAAGGAAAGCTCCTTAAAATGGAATTTTTAATGAATTATCCCACAGGAGGTAATCAGAAAACAGCACTGCAGGGCATGAGCTGGGTCACTGGGTGCTGCTGTGACCTCCTGGAGCCACAGGAGCCTTGGAGAGGAGCACACTGGATTTCACAGCAGTGGAATAAGAGCCTAAGACTTTGTCTGGGTGCTGCTGTGACCTCCTGGAGCCACAGGAGCCTTGGAGAGGAGCCACTTGGCCACACTGGATTTCACAGCAATGGAATAAGAGCCTAAGACTTTGCCAACTCCTCCATCCCATGGCTTTTCTCCAGGGATGGTCCTGGCCCCTCTCCCAGATCAGGACCTGCCTCAGGTCCTGGCAGCTGCTAAAGGTGCTGCTGCCATCCCCATTTCCCAGCCCCCTGGATCAAGAACAAACTGGGATTGATTTCCCAACCACTGTAAATCCCTGCTCCTGGCTGTCCTGGCCAGCACCAGGACGAGAATCCAAATTTTGATTGCTCCAAAGGTGCAAATCCCACTAGCACTGGAGGAAAGGGGCTGGGAGAACAGAGTGGTTCAGATGTGCTGAGGTGGAATTAAAAGTGGGAAGGCACCTACAGAAGTAGGAGATTCAAAGGATGGTCCTGAACGAGCCCAATTTGCAATCCAAGGACTTTCCTCCCAGAGAGGCTGAGAAGAAAATGGGAGGAGAAATAGGAATTAGAGGGAATAAATGTTCCTTTCTTATTCCTATGGATTTGAGCAGAATCCCTGTTTGGAATAATTTTCCATGCAGGAATTCACAACCAACCACGGCTGGCTCTGCTTCATCCACAAACACCACAGCACCTTCATCCCAGAGAATCCTCATCCCAGTCTTCATCTGGAGCTGGATGGTCTCTGCTGGCACCCCTTGGATTGGATTTCTTGGCTGGGAGGTCTTGAATGGGGCTGGAATTCCTCCGCTGGGATTTCTCTGCTGGGCAGGAAATGGAGAAGAGGAGGGAAAACCAATGAGAAGAACCCAACGCTGGAAAACAAAAACAATTAAAAAATAAGTTAAAGATCAATTTTCAGTCTGCTGGGAACGTTTTTCCAAGAGGACAAAGCCTCGACTCTTCCCTGCCGCTGAAGGTTTGAGCCTTAGGAGCGGCAGGAGCGGGGTGCGATTGCCCCAAAAAATTCCCAAATTCCTGGAAATATCAGGACCATCCTTCCGGCACCTCCTCCCCTCTCCGTGCCTGGAGCTCCAGTGACATCTGCTGCTGTCTCTGGGCATCGCCACCGGCCCGGCCACCGCCGCCCCCGGTCCCCCTGGGGATGTCCCCACCCCGGGGCTGCCACCAGCCTGCATGGGAACGAGCCTGAAAACGCCCCAAGACAGGAAGGAAATAAAAAGAAATAAGGAAATAAAAGGAAATAAAAGTATATAAAAGGAAATAAATGGATATAAAAGGAAATAAAAGGAAATACTTTATTGGTTGGAGCTGCCACCCCCCCGAGGGGAGCGGCTCCTCCTCCCCAAACTGGGGGTGACGAAGGGAACTGGGAGGGAAAAAAATTCCCCCACCACCACTCCTGCTTTTCCTCGGGGCTTTCACCCCCAGGCACCAAGTGAGGGGAGCCTGTGGATGATTTAAACCTGCATGATTTTACCCAGGATATTCCCAAACCCAGGAATTCCTGTTATCCCCTCGGGGGAGCCAGGATCTCTCTCCCAGAATCTCTCTCCCAGCCACCCAAAACTTCTCAACATCTCCAGCCCAACTCAATTCCAGCAGGCCAAACCCACCAGGAATTCCCAGAACCAGGCCCTTTGTTCATCCCAGGAGGTTCCTGTTCCCACAGGGAATGAAAGAAGCAAAAAATCTGGGTTTTTTTTGTTCTTTTCCAATAGTCTCACTTTATTAGATACCACATCAAGAGAGGATGTTGTGCTGCATGCAGCGGAAGACTGGAGGATTTCTAATTCCTGTGTAAGATTTTCTTTTCCTCTTTAACAGTTGTAAACTGATATTTGGCTGTAAAATCACTGCATGCGAGTCTGAATGCAAACAGCAGTAGAAGAGGCTTTTAATTTTCTTTTTTTTGCCTTTTTTTTTTGTTTGTTTGTTTTTCACCATTCCCAATCCATAGGTGCATGCTTTATTTACAACAAAAAGAAGTCATTCAGGGCAGGAATTACCATCAGAAAAACTGAGAAGAGGAGGGGACAGAGACCAGGGCTGTGGTTTTGCACGATACTGAGGAGATTGGCAAGTTGCACTTGATTTTTGGAGGTGCAAAGAGATGATCTGAGTACCCTTTTCCCAAAGAAAGCAGGCTGAACAGGGAATGGGAATACAGGATGGGATAAGGGCAACCTTAAGTGAGTTGTTCTGCACATACAAAGGAGGCTGGGCTGCTGCAGGACTGGGAGAAATTAAGGAATTGCTTAAATAATTATTTTTAAAGGCTTTTTTTACCCTCAGCCACACATTTCCCCAGCACAGCTCTGTGCCCAGGTGCTGCTCTGGGTATGACCAGGAATGTTTGGGCCAGGTCCATCCCTCTGGAAAGGGTGGTGGAAGCTTGGAGTCATTAAGGTTGAAAAAGGGAGAGTCCAAGCATTGCTCCTGGATCCCACCATCCCACAGCTCAGCTGGGCCTGCAGCAGGGAGGCTTCAGCACAGGATGCAGAGGGGAACAGTCCAAAAAAACCAGGATTGTTTCAGTCTGCTCCTGGCCAGAGAGGCCCAGGGATGCCACACTGACCGGCACAGAGGCAAGAATTCCATGAAAAAGGGGAAAATTTCCAGGTGTCCTCTTCCTTTCCATCCCAAGCCAAGCCACAAGCACCACCACAGCACCTGGGGTGATGGAAGAGGATTCCCAGCCCTGGCTGGACCCTCTGGGGTGGGTTGGGTTGGCTTTTCCCACCTGGAGATCCAAGGAGGGGGGAGCCTGTGCCAGGCTGGGCCAGCCCAGCACAGAGGGGTTGGTGTCACCCAGGGCTGGGGACACTCAGGGCACATCAGCAAGTGCTGCTGGGGGTGGGGGGAGATCAAGGAAATATCAGGAGAACGGAACTCATCCAACTCAGAGAGAGGGCAGCAGCAGCAGAGGGGGCAGGGGGCTCGGGGGGAGAGGTTTCATACACCATGCTCAGTGTGACAAAAAAATTCCATACATTCCATATGTGCTTAGTGTGCTCCTATTCACAGGGCCTGGGGTTTTCCAGAGCCAGGGAATGGTTCCAGAGCCAGGGAATGGTTCCAGAGCCAAGGAATGGTTCCAGAGCCCAGCAGCAGCAGCTGCAGTCTGTGTTCTCCTGCTGTCCAGACCAGATCCAACAGCTCCAGGCCACCCTTAAAGTGCAGGCTGAGGGTTCTCGTGCAGAAAACTAGGGGAAATGAAAGAAAACCAAACCAAAACAACCCAAGTTTGGAAGATCTCAGACTGTTCCAGCTAATTCCAGGAGCTGTGGTGGTTTAAAGCAATAATCCTTGCACACATCAGGGGGCTGGGGGGAAGCAGCAGCTCCTTCAGCTTCCCTCCCGAGGAATAGCAAATCCTTGGAAGCAGGAGGGGTCTGAGGGGACCTGGGACCCCTTCAGGGCTAGGCCAGTCACTACTACACAGCTCAGAGGTGAAGAGGAGGTAGTCACAACCCTAAAACAGCTGGGCTCCTACAGCAGCAGAACCCCCAAATTCCTCGGGCGGAGGAACCGCCTGCGGCGGCCAGAAACGACAGAAACCAACCCAAACCTGCTCCCCTGCGAGCACAGAGCTCCCTAAACCCTCCTTGTCGCTGTCATGGTGTTGGTGGTGGATCTTCTCAGCAAAGGATGTGCCACAACACTGCTCAGGTGGGCTGAACCAGAGGTGAAGCTCAAGCAGGACTCGCAGGATGACGCCGGTGACACCGGATTTGGCCTAACCACAACGACACGGACACCAGGCGACGGTGACACCCACACCAAAGCCAAGGAGCTTTTTCGTTATTGCAACTGAGGTATTGAGATCACACAAGCAAGGATAGGCTGATGCTCCCAAGCCCAGCACTCCCATCTCCCGGGGGGAGACGCCGGAGCGGAGGCTGGAGGGACACAGAGCGTCAGAAACGTGACGGGAACGCTGCCACGGGGACGGGGAGGGAGAGAGGAGGGGGAACAGTCAGGAGGGAACAGTCAGGAGGGAACTATTGCTTGCCAAAATTACACACCAGGGGAACTTGACAGCCTCCCTCCCCCGGCTGAAAATAAATAAAGGAGAATAGAAAAGATCTGGGGGAGTTTCCAGCGGAGGGGAGGATGGAGGGGGCTTGGAGGAGGCGGAGGACCCTGGGATCAGAGGCTGTAGCAAGGCGTGGCTGTGCTGGAAGACGGGACACCAGGGACATCAGGGACCTACAGGGGCGTGGCAGAGGGCAGGGAGGGCCGGGCAGAGGCTCCCTTTAATCACTGGCCACATGGTTCTCGTTCTGCAGGGTGTGCCAGCGCTCGATCTTCTTGTCCTTGTTCTTCAAACACTCGTACCAGTGTTTCAAGCGCTCGCCCTTGGCCGTGATTCCCAGCTGGCAACCGCCTGGGAAAAGGGGAGAAGAGCAGACTTTGTATCCAGAGGTGGTGCTGATGTTCCAGGAAATCCTGCCACGGGCACACACCTCACACCCTGCAATGCTTTTTCCACCTCCTGGATAAAAAAATCTAACGGAAGATTAGAAGCCTGGAGGTGCTTTTCCTGCCCAGAAGACCTCCCAGGATGCTGAAATTGGGGCAGTGTGGGGGGTGCACCCTCCAGATTCCATCATCCCACCTGGGCAGGTGACCCAGGCCCCCCCCTCCCCAAACCAGGCACCAAAGCCATGCCCCAGGGGGCAGAATCCCCCAGCCCATCGCTCACCGATGTAGTCGTTGGATTTTCCGATGTCGTAATCCCAGACGGAAATGTCCAGGGATTTCTTGGCCAGGTCGCTGTGTTTGATGTCATAGAAGAACTCCTGCAGAAATGGGAGCGCCCACGTCACACCCCAAAGGAAAACACACCCTAAAAGCTGCAGTTAAAGGGTTGGACCTGATCTCTGCTCAGCCTGGGTTCAAAATCCAAGGAGAGGATGGTTAAATTATAATTAATGAAGGAAAAACGCTCCTTCCCTGTGGCACCTCTTTTCCAGGAGTCAAGCACCTACGTGAGCCCTTTCCAGCTGTCCCATCCAAGCAGCATCAGTGGAGAATTTCCAATTTCCACCCCCAGGAATGCTCATCCCACCCACATCCCCAGCTGGGATGCAGGGAGCTTTCAGGGTGTGTGGTGCTGCCATGGCAAAGTCATTCCCAAAATATTCCCGGGCACAGGAGTGGGTAAGGAGCTTGAGCAAAGAGCCAAACCTTGGGGAGTTTGTCTTCCACCTCCTCCACTCAACACAGTGCTCAGTGAATTGATTTATTAATATAAAAAATATCCATCCATACCTCATTAAACTCAGGATTCAACGTTTTCTTCTTAATCTGTGTCTTGTGCTTGGCCTTTTTGCCCATGTCAGGTTTCAGCCAACTGGGGGCAACAGAAAACAGCTCAAAATTCAAGTGCAAGAACAGTGGGAGTTTATAAGCTTTAAAAAGTGATCTTCTGGGCTGGAAGAGATTTATTTAAGGCCAGTCTCCCTTCCCACCTTCCAGAGGATGTGGGAAAAGTGTGGGGCTGTGGCTGTGCAGATCCAGAACTCAGTTTAGAGCTGGGATTAATTAGATCTCTGTTAGAAGCTGATTCAAACATGTAAAGCCACCATCTTCTGTTTGTGGAAATGGAGAATACAACAAATAAAGAGAGACTGGGAAGGGAAACTGCTCAGTTCCACTGAGCTACAAAAAGATGAGCAGAATATGTTCGACATGAGAGTCACTGAATGAGTTTTAGGGAGAGCAGAGGTTTTTTTCTGAAGGCAAAGGAAAAAAACAGGAGCAAAACCCCCACCAGGAATGGCTGCAGGGATTTCTCTGTGGTGCAGCTCATATGAAGTTGGAATAAAAACCTCATTCCCCCACATTCCCAGGAGCCATGGGGGTTTATGGGGCAGCAAGCAGGGCACGGAGGGACGTGGAGCCACCTCTGTCCTGCAGCCAGGGTGGGTCAGAGGTGGAGGGAAGGACCCCCTGTCCTCCAGCTTCCACTGTCCCTGGACTCCCTTGATGAGTCACAGGTGGGAATCTCACTCCTATGGATCCTGGGGAAGTCAGGCACCAGCCCCAAACCTGTCACTGGGATATTCTACGAAAATCCTTTGCTAGGATTTTTCTCCTGTTCTAGCTGAGAAGCCTCAGAAAAGAAATGTGAACAATTAACTGTCTGATGGTGAGGAATGTGGCCTGGAGGCTGTTTACCAACAGGTGCATCTGTGATTGGTCCATGTGAGTTGTTTCTAATTAATGACCAACCATGGCCCAGCTGCGTGGACTCTCTGAGAGTCACAGGTTTTTGTCATCCATTCCATTCCATTCCATTCTATTCCATTCCATTCCATTCCATCTTTCTGATGGATCCTTTCTCTCTATTCTTTTTAGTATAGTTTTAGGATAGCATTTCAATATAATATAACATCATAATATAATAAATCAGCCTTCTGAAACACAGAGTCAAGACTCTCATCTCTTCCCTGACTCTGGGACCCTCAAACACAACCACACAAACCCTCCCCACATCCCCCCCGTGCCCTCTGCTTGCAGACATAAGGTGGTCAGCCAAAACTTGGACTCCTGAAGTCTTTTCCAGCCTTTAACAATCCTGGGATTCTCCACGAGGAATCTGGGCACCTGGGGAGCTCCGGGGAGCCACAGACCCAAGGGCTGGGTCAACACCACCCACAAGGAGGACACCACCACCACTGGACAGCTCGTGCCGTGCCAGCGCTCCAGAGGAAGGACAGCAGGGAGCCATTCCAGCCCGGAGCCATTCCCGGCTCACTCACAGCTTGACGAAGGGATCCGAGTATCCGTTGGCGTCCATGGCCGCCAGGTGCACGCAGCGCACGATGCCCACGATGAGCCCGCCCTGCTGGGTGCTGTACATGAGGGACACCAGGATCTTCCCGCGCTCCTCCACGTCCCCGCCGCGATCCACCTGCGGGAGGAGCCGCCAGAGGTGCGCGTGGAGGAAAAACGGGATGGGATGGATGTCAGGGAATGTTGGGGGGATAATGGGGTTGTACACAAGGGATGGTGGAAAGGATGTGGATGGAGCTTGTCCTGCTCCGAGGACTCACCTCCTCCTCGTACAGAGCCATCCCACGGGATGCACCCGTTGTTCCGGCACGCTTCGTCTGGGATGGGAAAGGGACAAGGAGACTGCCGTGAATGACTGGGAGAGGCACATCCCAGAGCAAAAACACCTGGGAATGCAGGCAGCCCAGCTCCTGCACTGCACTCCAAAGTGGAGGGATCTCAGGAATGTCCATCTTCTCCATCAACCCCGTCCCAGTGGATTCAACGAGGGACAGAGCAAGCTGTCCCCTCCTGCACGGTGACATCCATCTCCAGGGGCTGACAAAGCCAACAGGAGCAGGCCCTGGAGTCACTTCCCGTGGATTCCCACCAGGCTCTTATCTCTTCTCATCTTGGGATGTCACATCAGCCCAGGCATAGGTGGGAATGCAACTCCTAAAGGCACCAGGGAAGTCAGGCACCTCCAGCCCCTCCAGCCCATCCCTGCATCCCTCAGGTGCCATTTCCTAGGGGAACAGAAGGAATTTTCACAGACACTCACTGGTATTACTCTCTCCAGGCAGATGTTGAAGTTCTTTTTCTGGTTGGCTTTGAGTTTTTTCAAGGCAACTCTGGTTTCTCCAATAAATTCGTTGTGGCCGAATTTGTCCTCGTCACACACGGAGATCCTGGAGGGAAGAGGGAAAAGGGAACATCAACCAGGCTGGAGCAGTGCCCAGCTCCAGAGCCAAACCCATTCCTGCGGGGAGGGAAAAGAAAAACAAAACCACCCAAACCCACCCTTGATCTGGATTTCCTCTGAACAAAAGCCATCAAGACCCAAATTCTATCTTGCCAAAAAAAAAAAAAAAATCAACATTTGTAATATTTGCTTTGTGATGGGGCAAGAAATCAGGAGGTGGAAGTTTTCTGAGGGGCGGGGGGGGGAAGACATAAATTTTAAGAGATATTTATATGGACTTTTTTTTTCTGGGCTACTGTCAAATCAGCAGAGATGCACATCTCTATGATGATAAAAATCATAGTGTAATCAATAATTTACTATTAAATTACAAGGTCAAAATGCCAGCTCTCCTCTCTCCAAAGAACCATCCAAATGACCAAATTCGTGTTGATTTTAACCCAAAACTGCATTTCTCACAGCCCTAACCCCCCCTGCCCTCCTGGGGGTGGTGCTGTGAGTGAGGACCCCCACAGCCCCAGCCCGTGGGACCCCTGGGCTCGTGCTGGGCTTGCCTGAGGGTTTTCCTCTGCATGTCCTCGTCGGTGATGCCGTGGTACACCAGGGTCTCGTTCCACACCGGGTTCCGGGTGTTGCGCAGCGTCTTCGTCCTCAGCTTGTTCGACTGTGGGGTCAGACAAACACAGGGGAATCGCAGCAGGACTCCTCCCTGCCCAAATCCCAGCTCCTGGCAGGGATCCCCCATCACAGCTGGCACAGCTGGGTGATGGTGAGCTCCCAGGGAGCATCAAAGTGGAATTTAGCACAAGCACCGGGGATTTTGTTACATGTGGTAGCCAGGAGAGCCTGGATTTTGTCATTCCCTGGGGTTTATTCCCTCAAGGAGAGGGGAAAAGGTGCCCAGGGCAGAATGTGGGATGTGGATGTGCTCAAGTCACAGCTCTTGTGGTCTAAAAGAGGTGACAGTGGGGAATTGAGGAGCTGTCACTTGCTTGTGTGTCTTTCACAGCAACATATTCAAAATTAAAAAAAAAAAAAAAAAAAATATCAGCAAATGAGAGCAGCAGAAATCAAAGCAATTCCCAACATCCCACCTGGATTTCCTCCAAACAAGACCAGGTGTCCCTGTGCATAAAGTACAGGTGTAAAATCAATCCAATTACTTTATTATCAATTTTCCCCTGGTTTTACTCCTGGTTCCTCTGAGCAGAACTCTGCTGCACCTTCTAACGAAAGAGCCAGCACTGCTGGTGGTCATTCCTTCCTCAAGATTTGCCCACCCAGATCAGCTCAGCTGGGCTGGGGAGGGAGATTTCCAGGAATTTCCATGATGGAGCCAGAGTTTCCCCCACAGCTCCAGCAAGAACGTGCTGCAGCTTCCAAGCAAATGGATAATTCCAACCCTGGGCATAATTAGATTTTTTTGGCAGATGTTTTGTGATGCATTAACAGCAATGCCTCCTCTGGAGCTTCCCTCCATCTCTGAGCAGATTCCTGCCTGCAGGATGAGCTGTTCTTGGGTCTGGGAGAGCGTCTGGGAGCATCAGAGACATCCCCAGGGAAAACAGCAGCAAGCAGAGAAATCAACAGGGAAAATCTGATCTGAGGGGGATTTGAGAAACCTCTGCTCCATCCCCAGCACCAAACCTGGCAAAGCCTCACCTTGCTGGCTCCGGGCAGGAGGTGCAGCTTCACATAGGGATCAGCCAGGCCATTGGAATCCATTGGTTTTAAGCCCTAAAAAAGGATAAAGGAAACATAGGATGTGAATTCTCCTAGAGCAAAGACAGGGAAGAGAAAAACCTGCCCATGAAAAACGCAAAGAGAAAATGTGTTCAGTGACCCGAGAGCTTCTGTCCTGAGCAGCTGTGGGTGCCAGGATGTGCTGAATCAACCCATCCCAGGAAAAGTCAGCATTGTGGAACCACAGGATGGGTTTGGGTTGGAGGAGACCTCAAATATCACCAAGTTCCACCCCCTGCCATAAACAGGGACATCTTCCACTGTCCCAGGCTGCTCCAAACCCTGTCCAGCCTGGCCTTGGACACTTCCAGGGATGGGGCAGCCACAGCTTCTCTGGGAGGACTGTGCCAGGGCATCACCACTCCCACAGATCTCTTGGAGGCACACAAGGAAAAGCCCCACAACCCTCCCCAGCCAGGAGCAGCTGTGCCTGGAGTCTCCCAAGGGAGCAGCCTCTGCCAGCAGCCACATGGCTTCCTTCCCATTGTACCAGAGAAACTGGGAGCCAGATGGATTTAAACCAGGAGAAAGGAGAGGAAAAGAGGAGCCCTTGCCTTGGCCTTGATGAGGGTGCAGTGCAGGGAGCTGTTGTCCTGGTCGTAGAGCAGGCTGAACTCCAGAGCTCCCAGCGTGGCTGACAGAGAGGGAGGAAGAGGAGGAAACAACCTCGTTAAAACCCCAGCCAATAACTGCATTTAATCATCCCCGATTAGTAATAATTAGAAAGATTTGCAGGTCAAACGTAAAAGCTGTTTAATGCAGTGACACTGTGCTGGCAGCGGCCAAACCGCCGCAAATCCAGGTGGATTTGGGAGCTCTGCACAGCTTTGCAGGGCAGGGACTGCCCAGGGAGAGCAGCCTGGGGCTCTGGAGCTGACTCCAATATTCTCCAGGCAAAGGAGGAATAACCCTGCCAACCCTTCCCACAGCAATTCCACCCTGACCCCTGAGGAGATGCTCCAGCTGGGGACAGCAGCTCCTCCCAAGGCTGGGCTCAGCACCTGGCTCCCGTCTTGGCTCTCTGGAAACCAGCTCAGGCTCGTGCTTCTTCATCCCAGGGATGAAAAGCAAGCTTCTTCATCCCAGGATGAAACAATCCAAGCACCCGATCCCGACCCCGAGCAGCTCTTCCCACCCAGGATGTTCTACCACAGATCCTCCCCCTCAAATCCCGCCCCAGCTCCGAGCCCCGCAGGGAAGCATCATTCCCCAAGGACTTTCCCTGCTGGACACCCACCGCCTTCCAACGCGAGTCACGCCCAGCCAGCAACCTCCTCCAAATCCCACATTTCCCAAAGAAAACTCCCTCCCTCCCTTCCCGGCTACATACTGCCTTCATCCGAGTCGTAGCTGTTGGCATCCTCCTCCTCCTCCTCGCGGGGCTGCTGCCGCTGCGGGGCCGCGGCTGCGGGCGGGGGCTGGGTGGCAGCAGGGGGCTGCCAGGCTGGCCTGTCCTCCCTGCCGGGGGGCACGGCAAAGCCCCCTCCCCTCTCCTCCCTGGCGGCGCCGCGGGCCGGCTCCGGGGGGCTCGCTGCGGGAGGGACCCCGTTATCCCCCGGCCCGCGCTGCCCCCAGCCCCCCGCAGCCCGCCCGGGGTTACCTTGTCTCTCCGGGAAGCGGGCGGGACCCCCGGGACCCGGCCTTGCCGCTGCGGCCGCCGGCGCTGGGGACAGAGGTGGGTGGCATCACCGCCTGCGACATCCCCTGGTGCCCTCTCCCACCCTGCAGAGCCGCAGTCCCTGCCCGTGCGGTGTCCCCAGGGACCGGACGCCTTGTCCGCGCTCCCATCGCATCCTACCTGCGGCTGCCGGGGCAGGTCCAGCGGCGCTGGCCGGCGGGGGTGGCCGCTGGCCTTGCACGGAGTTGGTTCTCTTCACACCTGCAAGGAACGAGGGACGATCAGCAGAGAGCACCCGCAGATGGCTCCCGGCTTTGTGTCCCCCCATCTGTCCGTGCCGGGATGCAGGAGCAGCGCCGCTCTCACCGGGGCTCCTGCTGACCCCGCTCTCGGCAGCGTAGTCGCGGCTGTCGCTGTCCCCAGCGGTGTCCTCGCTGCCGCACGGACCCGGCCGGCCCTCGGCCGCTTTGCGGCTCCCCCGGGCGGCCGCTGTGCCGTCGGTGCCTGCAGGGAGAGGGAGAAAGGAGCAGTGAGGCTGGAAAAGCGAGCTGCCGTCCCCGGCCTGGGTGCCAGCAGCAGGGGGACAATGGGTACGGCCACCGCAGCGGCACCTCCGAGCTCCGGGCACTGCGGCAGGAGGGCTCTGCACCATCAAACCTGCTCAGGAAATCCCCAAGGACACAAGAGTCCCACGGGAAAATAAGGCCTGAGGTATCCATCACCTGGTCCTCAGCACCCTTCAGACCCTTGATGGCACCACAGCTCCAAATTCCTGGGATCGGGAGGGGGGATCCTATTTCCCTTCTGCTGATCATCTCCCATTTATTAAGGAGACAGCCGTGGCAGCTGCCTCTGCCTCTCCCTTCCATCACCCAGCGGATAAATCCCAGCCCAGCGCTCCGGGGTGATGAATTGCGACCCCACGGACGTGACGGGAAAGGTCTCGGCGCTCACCTGGCTGCTGCTGGAGACGCCAGGGATAAATCTTTGCCGTGACATAAATGGGCTGTTTCTCCTTGGCTGGGCTCTCAGGGTCACCGGGCGTGAGGACAAATCAGAACTCAACAGATTGTGGGGGGAAAGGAGGAGGGAGAGAGGGAAATACACCGGGAATGCTGAAGAGCAGGGAGCGGGGGAAATGAGCATCCAGGAGCAGGAGCCCCGTGGTGCAGAGAGAGCCGTGCAATAAATAATTTTCCAAGGGAGCTGTAGGAAAATCATGGGCACGGCAGGAGCATGCTGAGCACCGGCAGGGGCGTGCGGAGCTGGCAAAGCCTTCCCGACTCCAGGAGCCGTGGATTAATAAAAGCTGCCCGTGGGGCTGGGAGGTTTAACGGCACCGTGATTAAATCGCCTTAATTAAGTGCTTTCCCCAACTGCTGCTGCACGGGAAGAGGGAGATCGTCAGCTGGGGGCATCAGAACCCGGGCTAAAGGAAGGGTGGGATGGAAGGGACCATTCCAGGCGGGAGCTGTTCCCCCAGCCCCTCTTTGCCTCTTCCAACGGAGCCAAGAGGAGGGTTTGCAGCCACTGTGCTGTTCCCAACTTAATGATCACCCAAATGAGGAGCAGATAGTGTTGGAGGGGGATCAGGGATCCTCATCCCCTTGGCATCCCATGTGGAAGTGTGAAATTGGGGGCTGTTATCCAAAATGAACGCCCAGGGAGACCCCCTCACTCTCCACACCTCCCTGGCAGGAGCCACCTGGGGGTCGGGCTCTTCTCCCAGGCAAGAAGCCACAGGACAAGAGGAAACGGCCTCAGGTAATGCCTGGGGAGGTTAAGGTTGGATATTAGGGAAAATTTCTTCACTGGAAGGATTGTCTAGCCCTGACACAGCTGCCCAGGAGTCCCCATCCCTGCGGGGGGATTTAACAGCAAGCGTGGATGTGGCCCTTGGGGACATGGCTCAGTGGTGGCCTTGGCAGTGCTGGAGGAATGGCTGAACTCCATGGGCTTTGAGGGCTCTTCCAAACGGAATGATTCCACCACTGGAAGTGCCGGAGGGCGCAAGGAATAACCAGAACAAGCCACTGCTGCCTCCTCACCCTGCTCTGCCTCCTGTGCACAGCACTAGGCTGGGCTGCTCCATCCCCCACAGACCGGCACAAGCCCCCACAAGCATCCTAAACTTTCCCCGGGAGGTTTTCCAAGGATTTCTGGTTAAATAACCAGAAAAAAAAAATTAAAAAAAAAACAAAAAGAAAAAAAAAACAAAAAAAACACTTGCCCCTCCCAGCAGGTCCCACCACCCACGGAGGCGGCTCGGGAGCGGCAGTGGCTCAGCCCCGGCGTGTGCGGGAGGTGGGGAAGCCCTGGAATAACCCGGGCCCCCCGCAGGGTGGGCGGCAGCAGCAGCAAGGAGAGATCCTGCCGCAGCATCCCGTGGGGAAACTGGGTGGGAAAACGCCTTGGGAAGAGGAGGAGGCAGGGACAGGGCTCGGCACGGGGAGGGGACAAAGGCCGGTGCTTACCCTCGGTGTCCTCGGCATCCGCCTGGCCTTGGGGGCACAAACAGAGCGAGAGGGGGTGAAGCTGCGGCCCACGCACCCCCAACCCCATCCCGGGATACAAAGCCACTGTTTCCCCGGTATTTTATCCTTATTTTTTCAAGGCTTCCCCATCACCACGTCCCAAACCCTCAGCCGCGCCCTGATCCCCACCCGGGGCTGCTTTGTTCGAGGATGTCCTGCAACCCCACCTGGAAATCCTGGATAAAACCTCTCCAGGCTCCATTGCTACCCCCTTTAGCACACGGGCAGCAGCCACACGACTGCTCCGGATGCTTTCTCCCCAGAATTTTCCCTTGCTGAGGATGGGAAGGAGCCCAGAGCCTCTCTGGCAGTGCCGGGGGGCAGCCCTCGCTGTCACCTACCTCGGGTGGGTGCCCGGGAGGGGACTTTGGGGTCTGGGGCGGGCGACTCGGCCGGGCGGGGCTCGCTTGGGGTTTGGGGTCCCTTCTTGCTGACGGGCATTGGCTGTGGCAGCATCTGCTTGGGCAAACCCTTGAAGAACCAGGCACCGGAGCGTTTCCACACCTGCGGGAGCAGGATGGGGCCTCTCAGGGCTTCACACCACCTTGGGCTTCCTCCAGCAACCCAACATCCCCACCCTGCAGCCCATCCCGCTAGTTAATGAATCAATTAACTCCCCTGCTCATGCCACAGCAGCCAATCTCTGCCCACAACAGCCCCTTGCACCCCCAAACCTCTGTTTTCGTGAAATAAAACATCATTTTGCGTAGAAAACAAAACCATCCTGTAAGAACCATGCTCAAACAGACGCTGGGCGAGGCTGGGTGGTGCTGGAGGCCTTTGGGAGGTTGAGTCAGTCCGGTCTCAGAGATATGGGGGGGACAGAGGGGACAGAGGGGACAGAGGGGACAGGGGCCACACGCACCTCCCTCTGCTCGCTGCAGATCTTGCAGAGCCAGATGGCCTGGGGCCGGTTGTTGGTGGTCTGCACCCCGCACTTGGTGCACACGTTCTGCGGGCAAAACAAAGATCTGAGTGACACCGGTGCCACCAAAGTGTCCCCAACACCAGCAGCAACAGCTGTGCCTGCACGACCACCAGTGACTCTGGTGCTATGGAAACGAGCACCCAAAATCCACGGTGCCCCCGGGCTGGGGGGGTTTGTGGGGCTCAGGTCTCACCTTTAGGGGGAGTCTCACCTTCTTGCAGTCCTCGCAGACGACGCAGGCAGAGCCCCTCGTCCCCAGCTGCTCCCCGCAGAGGATGCAGCGGTTGACGCCGTCCCCCAGCACGCTGCGGCGCATGTCCTCCAGCCGGGTCATCAGGCGCCTGCCAGAGGGCACAGGGATGTCAGCAAGGGCACAGGGAATGCCAGGAAAAGGGCAGGACATGGGGACAGGCCCCACTCCCCAGGGGCAGCTGCTGCCTTGGGTCTGGCTGTTCTTTTTCCAGGTGTTGCTCCCCATGGAGCTTCTCCCTTTCCAGCTATGGGAAATAATCCCATAATAAATAATAATCACATCCCAGTGGGAAATAGGATTCCAACAGGTTTATATGGCACAATATTGACTTCCAGGGATGCTGCCAGAGAGGTGGCACCAGCCCCAGCTCCATGGACATGGAAAATCCATCCAAGGCAGCAGCTTTGCATGGAGCAACTTGTCCCTAAATAGAAACCTTTCCACCCAGGCCCGGCAGCTGCCCATGAAGAGCTGAAGGAGGAGATCCTGGAAGGCCTCTAATGAGGAGTGAATTAATTAATTAATAAATTTTCTTATTATTTGAGGAAAAATAATGTTGTGTATATTTGATGGAAATTCTTGCATTGACATGAAGGCCCACTGGAGGTCAGGCTGTGAAAACACACCTGGTTCCTGCAAAGATAAATAAAAACCCAAAAACCAAAACCAGCTGAGGAAGTTTTGGAAAGGCAGCATTGGCCGAAGGAGTTTGGAAAGGAGGAAGGAGCTGCGAGCAGCCGGGAGCTGGCGTCGGCGTCGTGCGCTCAGCTAACCCAGAATCCTGGCCCTAAAAATAGCACAGCAAGGCAAAAAAGCTGCATTATTTATGTCATTCAGCAAGGAAGGAACGAAGAAAGGGAGGAGGAGACCCGAGCCCACCGGAGGGAGCAGCCCCCCGTGGCAGCCTGACCCAAATCTGACGGCGCCGTGGCGGAAAAAAAACGCCGGGTGTTGGAAAGGCGTTTTCCCACGAGGGGTGACAGCTTCAGATTCGTGGTGACTCGGCTGCCAGGGCCTCTGAAATGCTCATAAACCATCCACAGGTTCCCTGCACACACCCTGGGGTTGGGGTTGGACAGCCAAATTCATGGGCTCCGTGGGGAAAAGGCAAATAAAGGAACGGCAGCATGAGGAGGGGAAATTATATGAGCATGGGATGGTTTTGGTTTGGAGGAACCTTAAAATCATCCAGTTCCACCCCTGCCATGGGCAGGGACACCTCCCACTAGACCAGGCTCTTCCATCCTGGCCTTGGACTCTTCCAGGAATGGGCAACCTGTGCCAGGGCCTCGCCACCCTCCCAGGGAGGAATTTCTTCCCAAAATGAAGTATTTTAGGACATCACAGCCCAAAAAGGCTTCACTGCAGTCCACAGGGACATCTCAAAGCCACCAAGCCCAGCCACGCTCAGGGATGTGGACCCATAATTCCACAAATTACCCAAGCAAAGCCATGTTAACACCTCAGCTCTGCCAAAACCCAGCCAGGAATCTCCCACTGCTCCCCACGCGAGGCTGATCCCGCTGGGCTGCGGAGCCGCCTCCTGCCACTTCCAGATGAACCTGCAGCCTGTTCCCAGCTGGAAGCCAGGCTGGGTGGGCAGCAGCAGAGCCAGACAGAGCCAGCAGTGGGCACAAGTCTCTGTTTTCACAGCTCTGGTGTCACCAGACAGCAGATGGGAGAGATCACGAGTTCCTGCCAGCACCGGGAGCACGGGGGCTCGAAATGCAGCAATCCTGGTTCTCATCCTTGTGCTGACAGACAGCACCCTCAGGACACAGCCAGAGGATTTTGTGCTTTCCCACATCGGGGAGAAGCTTCCTGCTCCAGTGTGGGATGGGGCTTGGAGCAACCTGGGCTGGTGGAAATTGTCCCTGCCCATGGAATGAGAGAAGATTTGAGATCCTTCCAACCCAAACCATTCTGGGATTTACTTGAGAGGTGCCGTGGTCCATCCCTGCCCTTCACATCCACAGGTGGTTCCTCCCTAGAGAATAACCCAGCTCTGGAGCCACCATCCACCCCTGGTGCCTTCCCAAGCTCCAGAGCCTGTGGCAAACACAGAAATCCCAGAGAATCCAGCAGAGCTGCATCACCCCACAAACACCCAACCATCAATTCCAATTAAAACCTGGATCCTGGCTGTTCCCCAAGCGTTATTTAAAAGCAATTAACCCCAGCCCACATCCCATGGAATGCATGATCCCCACAACAGCCAGCTTTTATCATCCCCCACCTCACCAAGGGGGAGCATTTTGAGGGAAAAAACCTCTTTTATTCATGGACAAACCCCATATCCCCTGCAGTTCCTCCCTCTGAGCTGCAGGAGCTCCAAGCAAAGCAGCTTCCAGTTGGAAATCTGCAAGCCCAAACAAACTTATTATAGAAACTGGAACAAATGGCACAATCAAAGGGAGGGAGGAAAAAAAAAAAAAAGCAAAAAAGAGGAAAAAGCCTTTGCATTTCAAGAGATTCATTATTTAGCTCCAAAAATCTCTCCCAGGCTCTCATTTAGCACGAGCTGCTCCTTAAGTGGGATTTTTGAACAACTGGAAGAGCTCAGCAGCCAGGACACACCTGTGGCACCACTTGCAAGCCAAGTACATTTCCCTAATTAAAACACCCATTCAAGAGGGAGAAATTGGGCTCTTTTTTTTTCTTTTTTTTTTTTCTTTTTTTTTTTTCCTTTTTTTTTTTTTTTTTTTTTTTTTTTTTTTTTTTTTTTCCCCATGACTCAAACGCTGCTGAGAGAGAACTGTAGAAAAAGTTCAATTTAAAGTCCTGGTGTGAACCTGGCAGGAAGAAAGGGGGGTTGTGCCCAGACCCCTGGGCTGAGAAGCTCCTGATAAAGGCAATAACTGGGAGGAAAAAAAGCCCAGGTTTGTTTCCAGCTCCATCCAGCATCTCCAGAGATGCAAATCCATCCCGTTCTCCCATTAATAACCAAGGGAAGCCCCGCCCTCACCAGGAATGAGATTTCTGCCTTCCCAAAAGCTTTTCTCTCCACTGGAGATCGTTTCCTCCTCACTTTTATTGCACACAACCAGCCTCCAGCTCATCTCTCTGCCTTCCACTGCTCCAGCAGCATCTTCCTCCCCACGATCTGCGCTTCAACTCCCCGGGAAACATCATTCCAATTGTTAAAAAAAATCGGGGAGTGGATTAATTGGAGCCGGCGGCAGGGAGCTGGCTCAGCCCAGCCCTCAGGGACAGCCCCGGGCTGGGGAGAGATCCCTCACCTGCCAGGGAAACAGGGATTACAGGGATTAGGCACCGATGGGAGAGAGAGGAGAAGCTTTATCTGCAATGTTGCACCTGAGATAACAGCCATGGAACGGCCCCTGGTGATGGAAATCAAACCCCAGGACTGGGGTTTGGGAGGGGGAAGGCGGGCCGTGAGGGACATCCCTGGAGCACATCCAAATATTCCCCATGGTCTGTGGCAGGAAAAGGATCCCACAGGGATGAGGGGTCCCTTGGGCTGGGTTCAGTCCTGGGTGGGACAGAGCCTTGGTGGCTTTGGCAGAGCTGGGTTTAGGGTTGGATTCCATGGCTTTAGAAGTCTTTTCCAACCTAAATGATGATTCCATGGAACTCTCAGCATTGCAGCAGGAGAAGAGGGGTGGGAAGAGGGACAGAGTGACCAGAATGAAGTGCTGATGATCCCAGGAAATGAGGCTTAAACAACGGAGCAGGAGTTTGCCGTGTTTAAATATTCATCAGAACTGCAAAAAATTAATGGCCAAGATGTCCTTAATGGGCTTTAAATTGTGGCAGGGAGGATTTTTAGTGCAGCAAAAAGGGTGGAAAAAGACCTGATCCAGGAGGAAGGACCTGATCCACGAGGAAGGACCTGGTCCAGGCCACCATGATCCACTTGCTCCTCAGTGCCTTGCAGGAAGCAGCAGGGATGGGCTCAGCCACCACATCCATGGCAAAAAAATTCCAGTGAAACACAAAGGAGGTCACCAAGAGCCTCCAGAATGAAGCCCAGCCTCGTCTCCGTGGAGAAATCGTGTGCCTTAAAGGGAATGAATATTAAATTAAAGCTCATTTTCCTGGTGGAAAAGGGACAAGAAAAGCAGCCAAGCTCCAGATTAAGGGAAACATAATTAAAATTGGGATGAGAAATGAGAAGCAATTTTCCTCCCCTCCAAGTGAGCAGGGAGCTAAAGGTAAAGCACCACTGGGGCTTTTCCAGGCTGAGCCCTCACCCACAGAGGGAAGACCCACAGAGTTTTTCCAAATATCCCATCCCTTGCTCATCCAGGTGTTTGCTGCATGTGCTCCAGCAGGCTGGGAATTTTTGCAGCCTTGGAAATAAGAGAGGAGGGGGTTTTTGGAGGGGAAAGCTCAACCAAACCCCCACAAAATCTCCAGCAGCACAAGCTGTCCCCTGGTCACGACTGGACCTCATCTCCTCCAGAAATTGGCATCCCAGGAGAGGCTCCCAGCTGTCTCCAGTAACCTCCCTGTCCTGCCTTGAGCCTGAATTTTATCTCTGTGCTGTCTGCACACAGGGATGAAGATCCCAGGCTGTGGTCCCCAGACAGCTTCCCTGCCACTGAGGTTAATGATTTAATCCCCAGGGACTTCCATCTGCTCCTGAGTTATCCCGGTGTCATCCCAGCCATGAGCAGCCGAGTTAAATTAAAATCCAATCCTGCTGCAGAGCTGCTCCTCTTGGAGCAAAGGTGGGACCCAGGGGGACACAGCCAGGCCACTGCAGGTTGAGAGGGGACCACAGGGCCATGGCCAGAGCCAGGAGCCAGCTGTCACCTTCCCTCTGGGAGAGCCAGCTCCGTGCTCTCCAGAAATATCCATTGCCACCTTGGGATGGTTTCAGATCTTCCCTCAATGCCAGGAGCATGCTGGAGCTCATTAGGCAGTGAGCAGCCTGGCTGGGTTATTGATGGCCCCCAATTAGAGATGCAGAACGGAGTCAATTAGTGCCTGCAGGTGCTCCTGTGGCAGCTGGAGAACAGGATCCTCGTGGATTGCAGCTGGAATAGCACCAGTGTCACCAGAGTGCCACCAGAGCCACCACGAGACCCCCAAGCACAGACAAGAACAGATCCATCCCTGCCCACATGGATGATCCCTTCTCCCAAAAACTTCCAGCTCTATGTCCCTCATCCCAAAGGAAGATCCTGATCACCCAGCAGCTCCAGCCCGACGTGCTCCTGCTGTGTCATGTTCAGGATGATTCCAGCTCCTCCCGTCCTTCTCCGAGCCACGAGACACAAAAAATCCCCCCCACACCCAGCGTCCCTGTCCTCCAGGCCTCATCAGCATCCAGCTCACGTATCCCACGGGATCCATCCACCCTCAGAGCTAAAAATACTCCCTCACAGGATTAGTCTGAGCTGGGTTTGACACCAAGTCCAATTCCACAAACAACAGCTCGACAAGAGGCATCGATTTGTTCCCAAGACAAGGGGCTGGTGGGGTGGAGGATACAGGAGATGGAGGGCAAAAAATTGGGAAGGGTTTGAGGCATGAGGAGGTTCATCCACAGACCTGGTTGTGGGATTGAGGATTCCTCAAGGACTGGGTGTAAAGCTCAAATGGATCCCTCAAACAGCTCCACTTATTGAGGCAAATCCAAGTATTCACCACATATTCCTCCTTTGGAATCTCACTCCATATGAGCTATTCCTTATATTAACCAAAAACAGTGTTTTCATGGAATAATGGAACGGTTTGTGTTGGAAAGGACCCCTGCCATGGGCAGGGACACCTTCCACTATCCCAGGTTGCTCCAACATAGCCTTGGACACTTCAGGAATGGGGCAGCCACAGCTTCTCTGGGTGAGTTCTAATGGATTAATTTTTCCCTTTGCAGGAATAGAAAAACCCCAGAAAATCCCAGAAAATCAGGCTTTCCATGAGCAGCTCCCTAAAGCAGCCTGGCCAGCTGAGGGCCAGCCACACCACCGCTGCCTCCCTGCCAGAGGCCAGCCTGGCAAACCCGGATTATTTTAGATAATATATTTATTCTAACAGAATGAGCTGTCCTGGATAACACCCGAGCGGATGATTCCCGACTCCCTGCGAGGCTGATCCAGCCGCTGTCCCACATTCCCTGTAGGGGCTGAACATCCTACAGCTCTTGTTGTGCAAGCCAACAAACACAAAGGGGCTGGCACGGCTCCCGCTACGCCTCCTCCTCCTCCTCCTCCTCGCAGGAGGGGAATCAGCTGCGGTTGCACATCCGCCAGAATTCCAGGCTCCCAGCCCCTCCGCCCGGCTTTTCATGAATGAGGATGAGCAAACCTCCTCCGGCTCGGCAAAGGGAAGGGCTGGAAAACAGCTGTACGAAATAAATCTCTCCCCGAGATGATTTGCGGCTCATCCAAGGAGCATCGCGCGCGTTGGGAAGGAATTCTTACCGGGCTAGGAAAGGGAAACGCCAGGGAAAGCTGTTTGTGAGCTCTTCTTGGGCGTGAATCACCAAACTCAGAGAGAGCCGCTCTCACCCGGCTTCTGCCAAAGAGCCGAGAGGGGGAAGCGCTGCCTGGTGGAAAGTGATGCCGAGCCCTGGAGGCACCTCCAGCCCCAGGGAGCAGCACATCCACGGGGCAGGAGCCGAGCCCAGGCAGGGAGAGCAGCCCCTGGAGAGGCAAAACCTTCCCAGGATGTTCAAATCCTAAGCAAGGATTTCTGGAAAATGAGGAAATAAATCTTCTCCACAGCCAGAGCATCCCAGTATTTAAGGGACAGCAAAGTGTTCATGAGCTGTGAGAGGGAATTTGGCACTTCCCAAAGCAGTGGGGAGTGTGGCTCCTGCCTGGGGCTGAGTGTTTTCCCTGCTGGGAAAAGAAAAAAGGAGTGGTGGATGCTTAAGCTCAGTGAGAAGAAAGTGCTCCTCTGTCAGGAAAAGAGAATTATGGAGATTCCAACGGGATCATGGAGATCCCCTCTGGAAAACCATTCCCAGCAGAGGAAGGGGATGGATACCTCGTCCTTAGCTCGTTTTACCTGGCAGGAAAGGAAACATGGGCACTTCCCTCCCTCTGCATGGGCACCAGGAATGCCCCTGGTGAAAAATGAGGTACCAGTGGCCCTGGGGACCCCAGGACCCAGAAAAGAAAAATCCCAGAAAATCAGGATTTCCATGAGCAGCTCCCTGAAGCTGCCTGGCCAGCTGAGGGCCAGCACCACTGCTGCCTCCCTGCCAGAGGCCAGCCTGGCAAACCCGAGCATCACAGCCCCGAGTGAGCATCACTCAGCCCTCCTGAGCCTCACACAGCTCCTTCCAGAGCGGGATTCATCCATCCCACAACAGCACCAAACTCCTCCGTGCTCTGGCTCAGTGAGCTGCTATCAATGATTCCTTTTCCATTGAAAAAAAAACCCGGGATGAGAGCAGAAGGCTCCAGCCCCCCGAGGCTCCCGGAGCCGCTCCCTCCCAGGTTCCTCCTGGCCGGGGCCCAAAGATCCCCGCAGGCTCCTTCCAGGAGAAGCACCGCAGTGCAGAGGCTGCTGCCCAGGAAAGCAGCCAAGCAGAGCCTCCTGCCGCGGCCCCGGGGTCCCTGTGTCCCTGCTGTGTCCCTGCTGTGTCCCTCGGTGTCGCCAGCCCCCCCTTACCCGATGCGCTCCTGCTCCATCTCCTCCATCTTCTCGGCGCGGGCGATCACCCGGTTGATGATTTCCTTCTCCTCATCCGTCAGCTCCTCGCCCTTGCGCTGCCGCTCGGGCTGTGCCGCCCATCCCGCCGGGAGCCTGCGGGCACAGCGGGGACAGGGATCCAGCCACGGGTCCATCCCCGCCCCGGCTGTGCCCAGCCCCCAACCCCAAACCCCTCACCCAGCCCACCTCCTCATCCTCCAAATCCTAAACCTAGCCCACCTCCTCATCCTCCAAACCCCTCACCCAGCCCACCTCCTCATCCTCCAAATCCTAAACCTAGCCCACCTCCTCATCCTCCAAACCCCTCACCCAGCCCACCTCTCCATCCTCCAAACCCCAAACTCAGTCCACCTCCCCATCCTCCAAACCCCAAACCCAGCCCACCTCCTCATCCTCCAAACCCCAAACTCAGCCCACCTCCTCATCCTCCAAATCCTAAACCTAGCCCACCTCCTCATCCTCCAAACCCCTCACCCAGCCCCCTCCTCATCCTCCAAACCCCTCACCCAGCCCCCTCCTCATCCTCCAAACCCCAAACCCAGCCCGCCTCTCCATCCTCCAGACCCCATCCAGCCTGCAATGAGCCCCCACCCATGGCTGGGAGCTCTGATCTCCATTTTTAGGTGGTTTCATATGGGAATATTGGTTTCATACAGAGGGAAAACTCCTTTTCAGAACCATTCCCATTATTTGCACGTTTCCTTTGGCACCCTGCAGCTCCAGGTTTGCCTGGCAGCCACGGGACCAGGGTGGTGGCACAGGAGTGGGTGGTTTTTTTTTGGGAACATTTCTCCAAATATGGGAGTGTTTGTCCCTCTAACATCATTCCCAAAGATCCTGTCTCCCAGCCTGGGCGTCAGGCAGTGCTAACCTGGTGACAGGGTAACGTCTGCCACTCAGGGGTGCAAAAGGCAAACATTCCTCACCTTCCTGCTCATCCAAAGACCTTTCCTGACTCTTTTCCCCCTCTGGATTAGCAGACCCGCATGGCTTTGAGCCTTGAGTTCATTAAAACCCTGTGTGACACTTTCCAAACTTAATTTTTTTTGCATCCAAACCCAGTTTTTTCCTGTTCCCAGACCATCAAAGCAGCAGGAAAAGAGGAATAAGTGAAAAATAAAAGATACTTACTGCTCCTTCTCACTGCTGGGAAGCACAGGGAAAGAGAGGGAATAAGGATTAGGTGAGAGCAGGGACGAGGAGAGCCCAGCCAGTGACACCTCCCACCTCAGGGTCCCTCCCCATGGAGCCCCAGTGTCCCCAAAGAGCAACTCCAAACCTCCAGGCACCAAACCCAGCCCCCATCCGGGCTGGAGACGTGCTCCAGAGTGGCATCACCCTGCAGGGTGACAGGACACAGGGACAGCACCAGGTCCCTGCACACCCCAGCTCTGTCCCCACCACCTCGCTCGAGGCGTTTAGAATCAAACCCAGCAAAACGTCCCCGTGCAACAGCACTGAACCAACTCCCGGTGTCCCCACGGGGAAAAGTGGTGTCACCACCCACCCTGGGGCCTTCCCTGTGCCCTGCTGTCACCTGGCTCGGAGGGACATGGTCCTGTCACTGGGGCACATCCACCGGTCCGAGGAGCCGCCCAGCACCGCGTCGGTCATCGCCCGCCAGCCCGGGCACCAGGCTGGGGACACCAGTGCCCCTCTGAGTGTCACCAACGTGGCACAGCAGGGACTTCAACAGCTCTGCTCCCTGAAGCCAGTGAAGAAATGGAGATTCCAGCCAGGCTGTAGGAAAAAAAAAAACCCCAAAAAAATCACTAAAAGTCACGCCGGGAAAGGCTTTGTGGGATTAAGAGGGTTTGGAGCAGGAATGTCACTTTAGTCTGGATATTGAGACACAGGAGCCTCCAGTCACCTCCTTCCCACGAGGGCAGCACAGCCTGGATGTAATTAATGAAGCCCCAACCTCACATTAATTATGAGGCTTCAGAGCCAGGAGGGAAGAGGGGGATCCATTCCAGAGAAACAGCTGCAAACAAGGAAACTTTCTCCCCAGATTCCAGTACACCTCGCTGTCCTTTCCCACACCACATTCCCTCTGGAAAAAAAAACCAAACCAAAAACCTCCTCCTTTCTCGTTTTGGTTTACTGGAGCTTTTGCCAAGTGGATCCAGGAGGGAAAACACAGCACCAGGACTCAAACAGGGGGGTCTCTCCACTCCTCTCCAAAGGCTCATCCAGAGAGGGTTCTTCAAACCCTTCTCCTTAAAATACCAATGGATGTCGAATCCACAGCCTGATTGTTGCTTTATTCCCATTTTTTGAGGGGTTTTACCCCTCCACCCACTGCTCCTACTCAGCGCAGGGGGATGGGGATGAATGGATCCATTCATCCGTCACCTCATCTGAGGGAAAACCAGGGATTTGATAGATTTGCCTGCAGCAGAGCTAAAAGATTCATTAAAAACCCCTCTGCAGAGTCCAACCATGGACAAGCAGGCTGCTCCCAGCCCATGGATCATTCACCTTCCCATCCTGCTGCCCTGGGATGACACTGCCTTGGATTCCTCCCTGCCTGGAAGGGACCTCTCAGTTCCCCTCATCCCAGTGGGTCCCAAAATCAGCATCCCAGCAGGACCAGAGCTCTGCCCAAACTGGTTAATGCACCTTTGTAGGGCACAAAACAACTCCAGCAAAACTCCAACAGAGAAACTGGGGAGATTATACCAAGGAAATGATGGAAAACAGGAGCTTGCAAAACTGCCACAGCTCCAAGCCAGGAAAAAACACCCAACTTTCCCCCCAAAAAAAAACAAAAAAAAGGAAAAAATGCTCTGCAGGAGTTTCTCCTCACTCCCTGAGGATTTGTGGAGGCTTGAGGCTCACCTTGGCTTCATGGAAAAGTTGGGGATGTAAAAAAGTATTTTTGGAAAAGCAGGAGAAGTGAAGCACGTGGGTAATTAGTGCTCTGCTGGTTCACACAGCGCCTGTTCCCGTGCCAAAGCAGAAGGCTCTGATTAACAAGGTCACTTAACGAAGGAAATTGTTCATTTAAGTCCCCCCCACCACCTCCACAATCCGCACTGCAGCACGGAACTCCCACTGGGAATGAAACATCCCGGGGTCCCGGGGTGGGCACAGATTGAGCAGGGAGCAAGGGCAGCACCACGATGCCACCACCCATTTTTGGGGAGATGCAGGTGGGGAAGGGACTGTCCCAAGGTCACACGGGGCAGGAATGTCCACCCCAACCCTTCAACTGGGGAAAAGAGGGGAAGATTCCTGTTTTTTTCCTAGCCAAGAGGGATCAGGAAGGTAAACTCTTGTCCAACTGGAACTTTGTGCTAATAAGAGCGAGGCCACGAGTGTTCTGTTCTGCTTTTGCTGCTCCTGGAGGAATACACAATCCCTTTCTCCACCTATAAATAATAGATTTGGAAAATCTACTTTGCATTACTTCCAGCAACTACCCCCGCTTGCCCTAATGCTTCTTCCAGCATTTTTAGCACATGGGAAAGAACAAAATAACAGCTCAGGGTGGCTCTTCCCCTCCCCTCTGCCAGATCCTGGCTCCTGAGCACCAGGATGTGGCCATCCAAGCGGGGATCGATGGGATGCAGCAGCATTTCCTTAATGAAATGGAAATATCCCAACCTAGGAGGGTGCCAAGACCTTCCAGGGTTTGGCTGACCCCGAAGGGTCCCGGATCTGCTGCCCTGGTGTCGCTGGGGATGGGAGGAGCTGCCTCATCCCGAGGTTTTCCGAGGGATGCTGGCAGCTCCCGCCGGCGCCGAGGCGGCAGGTCCCGGGCAGAGCCAGGAATAGCAGTGAGGTCTTAATTTCTGGCCTTGAGGAAGGGCCACATGACTCCAGTCATGCTGCTCCATTGCTGCTGTGTGACAGAGCCCGTGGACTTGGCCATGCTTTAATAAAACGGGACCGAACTCCCCCCGTGGGTCCTTCTCACTCCTGGGCCCACAGGATAATTCACAGACAAAGGTAAAAGATTGAGAAGTGCTCCTCTCCACGTGGGAAACGTTCTCCTTCATTCAGAGACACAGCAGGTGGACAAACCCGTGGGAGAAAGAGGGCGTTCCCTGGTGGCAGGGGACTTTTATACCCCAGGGAATGGGGACAGAGGAAGAGGCCCACAGCCAATGGGATACAGTGAGGGGAGGCAAGGGGAGGGTCTCTTCACCCAGGCAGAGACCACCAGGGGGTACTGGGGTGGGTGAGGGAAAGGCCATGTGATGGTGAAAGTTAGAACAAACCACGTGATACAACATAAGCTATTCAGTGCAATACAAAAACCACTCTGTGCAAATTCCCAATGCACCCAGTGCAAAAGAACAGCTAAATAAACCAGCAAGGAATAGCAGTGAGGTCTTAATTTCTGGCCTTGAGGAAGGGCCACATGACTCCAGTCATGCTGCTCCATTGCTGCTGTGTGACAGAGCCCGTGGCCTTGGCCACGCTTTAATAAAATGGGACTGAACGCCCCCCGTGGGTCCCTCTCACTCCTGGGCTCACCTCCAGCACCCAAAACCTGGCAGGAGCAGTGTCAGCAGTTAGCAGGTGCAGTGTCAGGAGTCAGCAGGTCCCATTCACCCTCCAGCAGCCGGGGGAGGGCTGGAAAGGCAGCGGGATGCTCATGGAATGAGCCCATGCCACCCCATGGCGCTGCAGGGACCAGAGCCACCCACAGCTGGACACCTGCAGGGAGCCCGGCACAAAGAGGCACCACCTGGGAATGCCAAACCCGGGGAGAAGAGACAAAATTCCATCTTTTCCAAGCTCCCAGGGTAAGGGTGAGGTTTTTCCAGCGAGCTCCACCAGCTTGCCAGCCGATGCCTGCAGAGATTGTCTCCAGCAGCAGACACTGACACAGGCAACCTATTTCTCCCTCCAGCCTCCTGAGCTCTGCAATGCAGCTTTCTTAAATATTGAATAAGTCTGCTGCTCTCACCACCTGCCAGTGCCAATGATGAGGTAATTTTTCCATTGACAAAGCCTGATGTGATTAATCCGGGTGGAAAAATGCAGATTTTGGGCATCATCCACTCACCTGGGACACGGAGCAGCAGCCAGACCCCAACCAAGCAGCCCAAGCTGCTGCCCTGGTGCCAGGTGGGAGATTATTGGGTGTCATCAGCAAGCAGGAGGCTGGGAAGTGGAGTGGATCCAAACTGATTCTCTGCTGGGATGGTGGGGCTTGCACACTGGCACCAGAGTGGGTTTATGCTCCACAGCTGGAGCCAGGGATGGGAAAATAGGGGATTGTCTCCAGCAGCAGACACTGACACAGGCAACCTATTTCTCCCTCCAGCCTCCTGAGCTCTGCAATGCAGCTTTCTTAAATATTGAATAAGTCTGCTGCTCTCACCACCTGCCAGTGCCAATGATGAGGTAATTTTTCCATTGACAAAGCCTGATGTGATTAATCCGGGTGGAAAAATGCAGATTTTGGGCATCATCCACTCACCTGGGACACGGAGCAGCAGCCAGACCCCAACCAAGCAGCCCAAGCTGCTGCCCTGGTGCCAGGTGGGAGATTATTGGGTGTCATCAGCAAGCAGGAGGCTGGGAAGTGGAGTGGATCCAACCGATTCTCTGCTGGGATGGTGGGGTTTGCACATTGGCACCAGAGTGGGTTTATGCTCCACAGCTGGAGCCAGGGATGGGAAAATAGGGGATGAGGATGGAATTGCTTTATGGGGCTCATTTTGGGGTGACAATGACCCATGGAGACCCCCTCTAGATGAGCAGTGTGAGGAGCAAATGCCAAAGCTTGGATGAGCCAGGGTGGAATTGTCTCCTCACCACTCAGGGCACACATCCCAAACCACCAAGTTTGGCTGGAAACCCCTCCCAGCTCCTGGGGACATTTCCAGCCATCTCCCAAGTCCACCAGCACCAGGTCCTGCCCTGCTCCTTGCCTGGCACCCAGAAGGGCTGCAAACCACAGGGAATTCCAAATCCTGCCCAGACACCTGGCACAGACACCACACCACACCACACATCCAGGTTTGTCCCTTCCCAGGAAAAGGACTTTGCCCACTGCACACCCCACACCATTCCCTGTGGAGCACATTCATGGCTACAGGGAGGGGCAGCAGGTCCTCAGTGTCCTCTGGCTCCAGGCAGGATTTGGTACTGCTGGATTTACCTGCAGAGGGTGGGGGGAAAAGGGAAAATATCCCCCAAAATACCTGCAAGAGCAGCAGTGTAACCCTGCAAGGTGATCAGCAGGTGACAGGGAGGGGCAGGAGGGCAGCCCAGCCCCGGAGGGTCCCACACACCCAAACTCCCTCCAGCCCCGACATTCCAGCATTTGTCTCATCCCACGTGCAAATTCCTTTAGAAAGTTCGGGCAAAGTTGGGCAAGCTGCCCAAGGGGATGGTGCTGAGGGAGCAGCCCACGGCCCAGGCTCTCCTGTAAGAGCAGAGGGAGGGAGGCAGAGCTCAGCTGGGGCTGGAGCTCCTCCCGGACACCTGGGCAAGGGACAGGACAACGCCAGAGGTGTCACCCCAGGTGACGCAGCCACGGCAGCACACCCTGTATGTTCCCACATCCTCCAACAGCCACGGTGTGGGATCAGACCCTTGACTGCCCCACGGGGGCTGAGGGCTCCTGGGGATGCAGCTTTTGGGAATGACCCAGAGCCAGCGAGTCACAACACTGGGGTCACCTCACCCTTCAGCTCCA